CTGACTTTTAGAAACTCAGAATGTGACCGTATTCGGCAAGAGGCAAGAGGCACGTTGCAAAGTGTCTAGTTAGATGAGGTCACACTAGGGTCGAACACGCCTGTTAACTCTATGTGGCTGGCTGGTGTCCTTGTCAGAAGAGACACAGACCCCGGATGTGGTGCACACCTGTCATCCCAGTGGCTTGGGAGGTTGAGGCAAGAGGATGGCGAGTTCAAAGCCAGCCTCAGCAACTTGGTGAGATGCTATCTCAAAATAAAAAATAAAAAGGACCGGGGATGTAGCTCAGTGGTAGAGCAACCTGGGTTCAACCCCCAGGACCAAAAGGAAAAAGAGAGAAACACACAGAGACACATACGGGATGAGGTGACACAGAGGGAAGATGGCCCTGTGGTGGTGGAGGCAGAGACAGAGCAGAGCAGCTGTGAGTCCCAGGATGGTGGTGTCCCTAGAGGCTGGAGAGAGGCCTGGAACCGCTGGCCCCTCAGAGCCCCAAGAAGCCGCCCACTCTGCTGGAACCTTGAGTTTGGACTTCAAGCTTTTAAATTGTGAGAGAAAAAGTTTCTATTGCTTAAAGCTGCCCCGTTTGTAGTCCTTTGTTACAGTAGCCGCAAGAGAGTGACATAGTAACCCTCGGTCCTGTCCTAATTGAGAAATGTCTGGGCAATGGCTTGGGGACAGGGTTGATTAGGGCCCATGCCATGCAGGTTAGGATACCATCCCTTGCCTCTCCCACCCCTGAACTGGTGACAGGAGGGAGAGGGGTCACCTGGAGGGCCTCCAGGGCCCTCTGCTACCTGGACACTTGCTGGTGTCAGAAGACCACAGTCTCAGCCACCCTTTTTAGGAGCGATGCAGGTGCAGCACCCTCTCACTTTTTGATCCCAGAGGAGGAGGCTGGCTGCACCCTACTTTATAAATAGGCGAATCAAACCTCAGAGAGGGGCAGCAGCTGTGTAGGTCACACAGCAAGTGGGTGGCAGAAGCAAGGTGTAGACCGTGTGGCCCCACTGTCCTTGCTGGTCCCTTCCTGAGTCATTTGATCAACGCTGCTCAGCAAGCTCAGCCTGGTTGGGATGCACTGAACTGAGTTCAGTCCCGGCTCGGCCACTCCATGTGGCCGGGCATCTTGGGGCACCTGTGTCTCACTTCACCGGGCTCTGCAAAGGCTCCTCCTGTTTCCTGCTCACTTACATCCGATGCTGCTGTAGGCTGGGACCCTGCTACCCCCATACCTGCACATGACCCTCCATGGCCCAAGCTTCCTGGAGCAAGGTGACCTCTTCCTAGTGGCTCCAGATTCCATGTGTGAATATCCCAGGAACGACCTTGCTTTGGAAGTCACACAGTGTTACCTAATAATTTTTTTTTTTTTTTTTGTACAGGGGATTGAATCCTGGGGTGCTTAACCACTGAGCCACATCCCCAGCCCTTTTTATTTTATTTTTTTAATATAGAGACAGAGTCTCACTGAGTCGCTCAGGGTCTGGCTAAGTTGCTGAGGCTGGCTTTGAACTCGTGATCCTCCTGCCTCAGCCTCCTGAGCCTCTGGGATTACAGGTGTTCATCACTACGCCTCGCTCCTAATAAGGTTTTAAGACACAATTCCAGCTCCAGTTGGGGCAGTGTCACTTGTTACATTGTTATGTTGTGGAAGGGGACATTGCGTGGCCATCATTAAAAGATACAATGTGTAATAACAGCCACTGGGCAAGGCCAGGTCCCATGTCCCATGTGTGTTATTTGATTACATCTGGAAGTGGAATTGTGGTGTGGGTGGAGAGTTGAACTGTTCAACAAGACAAAAAAAAAGAAAAAGAAGAAGAGGAGGAAGAGGGGGGAGGGGTGGTGGGAGAGGAGAAGGGAGGGTGGGAGGGAGGAGGAGGAAGGGGTGGGAGGAGCAAAGAAGAACAGGTTTTAAGGGGCTAGATCCACAGCTAGCAGAGAGCTGGGGTGAAGCTCTGACTGCTGAGCAGGGCCATGTGATGAATCTCACCATCAGCCATTCTCCATCCTGCAGGTCAGATCCCAACCTTGGAGCAGAGCTTGATGGGCAGAGAGGTCCTCTGCAGTCTATTTTCTACCCAGCATTTTACTCTTTTTAGTACTCTCCCAAATATCCTTCTGGGGAATTGCCCCTCCTTGCTGTCAATGTGAAGCTAACCATGTCCCAACACACACACAGGAAACCCAATTTTATAGGAGAGAATGGGGCTAATGGAAAGGGATGTTACATTGAGAGCAAGAGCCAGAGTGGAACTGACTGGTATGTCCTTGATCCATCCCTACCTGAAGGTGTTACATTTCTCCACTTCCAGCAGCTCTTGGTGAAAACAATTGGTTTTCAGTCAGGTACAGTGCCACCAATTTGGGAGACTGAGGCAGGAGGATTGCAAAATTGAGGCCAGCCTCGGTATGTTAATGAGGCCCTAAGCAACACATCGAGGCCCTGTCTCAGAATAAAAAATAGGGACTGGGGTTGTGGCTCAGCGGTAGAGCACTCGCCTAGCACGTGTGAGGCCCTGGGTTCGATCCTCAGCACCACATAAAAATAAATAAATACAGATATTGTGACCAACTAAAAACTAAAGAAATAAAGCGGGCTGAGGGTATAGCTCAGTGGTTAAGTGCCCCAGTTTCAATCCCAGCACCCAAACCAAACAATAACAAAAACAGTTGGGGACCATTTACTGATTACATCCCTTTTTTCCTCTAGCCTGTAGTCCTAGAGGATTTGTCCCCATGCAGTGCTCCTAGGACCCTGTCCTCCTCCTCCTCCTTGGTGACATTCATAACCATTGCTCTTTTCTTTTTCGTTTTCATTTTCTTCTTTATCTCTTTTAGTGGTACTGTAGCTCAAATCCAGGTTCTTACACATACTAGGCACTATGTCCTCAGGCCTTGCATGGGAATTAACTGTCAAACAAATGTGAAAAATGAGGCTGAGGCAGGAGGATTGTAAGTTAAGGGCCAACTTTGGCAACTTAGCAAGGTCGTGTCTTTAAAAAAAATATATATATAAATAAAAATTAAAAAGGCTGGGATGTAGCTGAGTTCAATCCCCAGGACTGCAAGAATAGAGTGTAGCTCTAAGTGGTGGTGGAGTTCTTGCTCTGGATTCAATCTCTAGTAACTCGTGCACACACACACACACACACACACACACACACACACAGAAAATTAAACTCTGGGATGAGACACAGCCCTAGGGAACTGTTAGCTAGTAGAGTGAAATGATCTGAATGCCGGCTGAGCAGCATCTACATAAGGGGACAGCAGGTGGCCTGCTCCTATGCTTTATTTTGGTCTGCAGGGTATCAAAAATAGTGCCAAGGGCCGGCCATGTAGCTCAGTGACAGAGTGCTTGCCTACCATGTGTCAGGCTCTGGATTTGATCCCCAGCACAGAAAGAGGTGGGGCAGGCAGGAAAAGAACTTGAATGGGCATTTTTGTTTTGGGTGCTGAAGATTGAATCCACTGAGTTACATGTATCTCCAGCCCCACTTCCTTTTCTTTTTTGAGTCAGGGTCTTGTCAAGCGGCTGAGGGTCTTGCCAAGTTGATGAGGTTGGCCTAGAAATTGTGATCCTCCTGTCTCAGCCTCCCAAGTTGTTGGATTTACACGGGTGCACCACACCACCTGGTGTGAACAGACATTTCTCCCAAGATGATACACAAAGGTCTCACAAGCACTTTAAAAGAGGCTCAACATCACTGATCATTAGGGAAATACAAATCAAAAACCCAGAGAAGAGCTGGGCCTGTAATCCCAGTGGCTTGGGAGGCTGAGGCAGGAGGATTGAGAGTTCAAAGCCAGCCTCAGCAAAAGTAAGTTGCCAAGCAACTCGGTGAGACCCTTTCTCTAAATAAAATACAGAGCAGGGCTGAGGATGTGGCTTAGTGGTCAAGTGCCTCTGAGTTCAATCCTCAATCCACCCTCCCAAATAAACAAAAAGGACTGGGGACATAGCTCAGTGATACAGCACCCATGGGTTCAATAGCCAGGACTGGGGAAAAAATAAAGGAAGGTCATTTGATATCTGCTCTGACATGAATGAATCTTAAGGACATTATAAAATAAACCAGATTCAAATGGACAAATATCACATGATTCCACCTCTCTGAGGTCACTAGAGTTGTCAAATTTCTAGGGACAAAATAGAACTGTGGGTGCCAGAGCCCGGGTTTGGGGGGACCTGGGAGTTAGTACTTAATGAGGATAGTTTCAGATTGGGGAGATGAAAAAGTTTGGGAGGTGGATGGTACTAATGGTTTCACGACAATGTGGTTGTGTTTAACTCCCTGAGCGGCATTTCAAAACGGTCAAAATGGTAATTTTTGCTTTATGTATTTCACCACAGTTTAAAAAAAAAAAGTGTCAAGGTGAACAAATGAGATGTCAAGGTGCAACTGTAGTAGACATCGCCCAGATTCCCTAGTGCCTGAATCTCCTCCTCTTGGTCACAGGGAAGACTCTCCTCCCCAGTACCCTTTAGTTGAGTTTGGTCATAGGGATTCAGGGCACTGGAGACATGTGACTCTGCACTGATCTGCCCTTGCCCTGCGATGGCTTTGCAATGAGGTGGACAACTTATGAATTCTAATGACTTGGGCTGCTCAGACCAGCTGTCCTGGAAAGTCAAGCTCAAGCTGAACAGAAGACACGCAGGGGACAAGGCATCTTTGTTTTACATTAAGCTGTTGAGATGTTGAGGATGTTTGTTACTGCAGCACAACACATCCTGAAACAATAGCCTCTCATGTGCAAGGGCAGATCTGGAACTCCTGGGGGTGGTCCCAGGATGGAGCTGCAGGGAGTCATTCCCTCTACCTGTTGTCCTGTGTTCCTGCCTCTTTTTTTTTTTTTTTTTTTAAGTTGTCAGTGGATTCAATACCTTTTATTTATTTATTTATTTTTATGTGGTGCTGAGGATCGAACCCAGGGCCTCACACATGCTAGGCGAGCGCTCCACCACTGAGCCACAACCCCAGCCCCTCCTGTCTGACTCTTGCAGGTACTTGAATCTGGAAAGGTGTAGTAATCTGTTCAGGCTGCCATAATAAATACCATAGATTGAGTGGTGTAAACAATAGAAACTTATTGTTTCAAGTTCTAGAGACTTGAAGTTCAAGATCAAGGTGATGGGTCTCAGAGGGCTGGTTCCTCCTGAAGGCTGAGAGGGGAGGATCTGTCTTAGCCTCTTTGGAGTGTAGATGGTGGTCTCTTGTCCATGTTTTTCCACATTGTCTTCCCTCTATATCTGCCTGTCTCCAAAATCCCGCCCCCCCCTTTTTTTTTTTTATAAAAAGACACCAGTCATTTTGGATTGGGGCCTACCCCACTCCAGTATGACATCATCTTAATGAATTACATCTGCAATGACCCCATTTCCAAATAAGGTCACATTTTGAGGTATTGGACGTTATTGAGGCATATGAACATGAATTTTGTGGGGAGATCACTCAACCCATAAGAGACCGCCTCCCAGAGGAAGGAGCTAAGCCAAGTGGGCAGGTCTGGGCAGGGATGCCCTGGGGGCAGCAGAAGGAATCAAGTGAGCAGGTCTTTTTAGCAGGAGTGGCTCTTGAAGGTTCTTCAGAGATTTCCTGTGTTCACAGAAATTGGGTGTGCAAATGAGTGCGTGTGTGTATGTTGGAGGGGGTGGGTTCTTGCCTCTTGCTCATCTCTGGGGACAAGAGATCAAGAGGCGAAGAGACAGTACAAGGACCCTGGGAAGGGGCTGTCAAGGTCTGATCTTTGGGGTTTGTTTTTGACTTTCTGCCGATTGTAGAAATGCATTGATGTGGGTGGGGGTGGGCACAGAATGGAGGCAGGCAGGAAGGGGAGCTTTCAAAGCCGTAGCCATGGGAAATGTTTTTATTTTCTGCTTGAAAGAAAATGCCAAAGAAGGATAAAAGGAAAAAAAAATAGGGAGGGAGGTGAAGAGAGTGAATATATGTGAATGCTTGAACAAGCACACGTGTGTGTGTGTGTGTGTGTGTGTGTGTGTGTGTGTGTGTGTGAGAGAGAGAGAGAGAGAGAGAGAGAGAGAGAGAATATATCTGGGAGCCCATTGGCCCAGCAACCTGGGAAGGGTCAGACCCTGCCATTCCCCCTCTGACATGTTCCCACTGGCCAGGGGGCACCAGCCTGCAGGAGGGAGCTGGGCAGAGCCATGGCAGGCCTAATTGCTGCCACTCTGAATGGGTGGCCTTAGGTTTCCCCACTTCTAAGACACACTCGGACCCGGAATGTGTACCAGCAGCAGAGAGAGCCGCTGAGGGACACCTTGTGCAAAATCAGAAGGCCCCAAGGGAACCCCCGTAATCCCAATTACTTAGGAGGCTAAAGCAGGAGGATCCCAAGTTTGAGGTCGGTCTGGGCAACTTAGGTAGGACCCTGTCTCAAGATAAAACTTAAAAAGGCGGGGGCTATAGTTCAGTGGTAGAGCACTTGCCTAACAGGCTGGCCCATGGTCCTCCTGAACTCCAGAGGAATGCTGCCTTGGGTTAGCCAGACCTCACCCAATCTCTACTTGCCCCAGGCCAAACCAGGGACTCTCACCAATCTCAGACCTCCGTTGCCTCCCCCCCCCCCCCAGGGGTAGGAGAAATTCCACAGTAGCCAAGAGAGAGGACTGAAAGGCTATAGGTGGGGGTGGCAAGGCAGGTGGTCAGCTTGTTGGGTGTGCTGAGGGGCTGGGAGTGTAGCTGACGGGTAGAGAGCTTAGCTTTAACACACACGAGCTAGGGGTTCCATGCCCAGCACACACACACACACACAAAAGTGAGGAGATGCTGGGGTTTCCCGTTTCAGACACTCTGCCTGGCTTGGTAGATGATGCTTGCTGCCACTTTCCAGCTGTGTGATTGTCCCTTTTCCTTTCTGCCCCTCAAGCAGAAATGGATAGGACAGTAACCAAATCACAGGTCCAGGGGAGAGATGCCCAGGACATCCCAGGGAACTTTCAGAGACAGGAAAACAGGAGGAGGGGGGCTGGCAGCCCGATCCGGAGGCACCACGTGGGTTAGGGAGGTGGGAGGCGAGGAGGGCCTCTGGGGGCCGGGTTGGCAGTGGAATTTGCTCCAGAACCCTTAGCATGCACGGGCCTGCTGGGGAGGTGCAGAAGCCCAAACAAAGCAGGGACCAGGGGTGGGGGAGGGGAGTGGAACTTCTGAGAGACTAGGCAGCCCCCTCCTGGGACACGGACTCCCCACCTAGGTGCAGTGTCCCTCCCCAAACACACGTGCTGCCAAGCCCTCCATTAGTCACCCTGGCACTGACATACATAAATCCCATTAGTCACACCCCACACAAACTCGCTGCGGAACACACCCAGTCACACCCAGACAAAGACCAAGGCCCCCTAAGACAGAGGCCCGGCTTGTCGGTGGGGGCTGGTTCCCCAGGGCCTAGTACAGTGCAGCGAAGCTCAGGCGCCGGACACATTCTTCCCAGAGTAGCCGATCCTCCATTTCCAAACCGCCACAACCTGCCCACAGCCCCCAAATAGTCACAGTGCCCTACCCCCACCACAAATCGTCCCCATCCCCTGTAGGCACACATACCACAATAAACGCCCTTGGCCACCCCCTCTTGTGTCTCTGGGGTGGGGGTAGGGCTGACTCTGGCCCCCTCCCCCAAGCCTGTCCTCGGACGGGTCTGGCAGGAAACATTCCCCAAGGTCACCCGAGCTCTTCAGCAGGCGGCCCCAGGAGCTGATTTATTGGCGGTTTATTTGGAGAAACGCTATCGCTCTCAGATTCCGGGGGGGGGGGGGAAACGCTCGCGGTGGACTTTAACCTTGGGCTGAAACCGCAGCGCTTTGTTTTCCGCGGCGCTTCCTGGGGCCTAGCAGGGGCGGCTCGGGCGGAATGTGGCTCTGCAGCCTCTCCGCTCCCAGGCTGCCGCCGGGGCGAGGCTCAAATTCCTCTGCGTCGGGCCGGAAGCCCTCAGTCCCTCCGAAAGTGCTTCTAGAAATTCTAGGAAGAAGCCGGAGCTCCTTGGGTGAGGGCAAGCTCAGAGCCAGGTTTCCAACCGCCCCCCCCCTTTGCCATCGCTTTTCTGGGGTCATGTCACTGGCACCGTGAGACTTTGGGGGGGCACCAAGGCGGGGATGAACGCTTTTCTCTCCACGATTGTCCCCACCAAAAGCCCCCAAAGCCTCTTCGGTGGTGGTCGGTCTCCGTCGCGCGACCGGATTGCTCGGTTGATGTCGGGCACCCGTGGAAAGGCCTGTTCCTTGCCCCTCTAGCAAGAAAAAAAAAAAAAAAAGAAAAGAAAAAGATAAAACTGACGACATTAAACGTTATTGTTGGAAATGTACTCTCTGGGGCTGCCCCCCTGACTAGGATAGGAAGACCGTCGCCCCCACCAGGCTGCTACCAGCTCAAAGGACCGATTCCTGCTTTCTCCGTAGTCTATTTGCACCAAGGCTGAAAAGGGGTATCCTCTGCAGGGAGGGGGTGGCATGGCGCGGGGTTGGGAACCCAATAGGTCTCCGACACCGCGCCTGCAGTCATCCGGCTCATCTCAAGCTTCCCCCTGCCCCCAGGCCCCTAGTCGCCCGCAGAGGGATCCCGGGGCACAGGACTAAGCAGGGTCCCAGGAGGTGGGTGGTCGCCTGAGTTGAGAAATCGCTCAGTCCTTGGCCCTGTCTTGCTCCTCAACAACGCAGGCGGTCCGTGCACCCATCCTTCATAGGAGGGTAACCGAACCTTCATAGGAGGAAGTGTCGGGCCGGGGGGGGGGTCCCCACCCCAAAGATGATCGGTGAACCTCGGGCCACCTTGGGGTCCGAAACTCGTGGTGATGGATGGTGGTGGCACTGAGTGGGAGGGAGGCCGTTCCCTCTCTGGCGAATGGGGAAATTCTGGCTTGATTCCCTACGTTGAGTCGGGGCCTCCAGGCCGTGACCAGGAGAGCAAGGCGCTTGGCTTGGCGCGGGATGCGAGGCCGGCCCCGAATACCCGCGCATAAACAGCAGGAAGCAGGGCCGGCGCGGAGATTTATGGCAGCAGCCGGCCTGCGGCGCACCAAGCGCGTCTCAGTCCTTTCTGAGCCAGACAGTGGCGTGGAAGACCCGACCAGGGCCAGAGGAAGAGGCCAGGGTCGGAGGCGGGGCCGAGAGGAGCCAGAATCCGCTGCGGCCAGGCCTGGCGCAACAGCCCCGGCTTTGCCCGCCGTGCGCCGGGGTCTTGGCTGCAGCAGGGCTCTAGCGCCGCGTCCCTGGTCTTCCTGGTGGGTCTGGGCGTCCCTCGGCCAGGCGCCGAGCCGCTGCTGGGCCAGACTCTGCTACAGACAGCAAGGATGACTGTCCCCAGTGAGGCCTCTCCGGGTTTTAGTGGCGCCCTGGCTGGGAGCTTCCCAGTTGCCGAATCTAGGACCTGTGGAAACTCTGGCCGAGAACACCCTGCCCCGGCCTCCCGAGCCGGCAGCCGAAGCCGGAAAGCCTCGGGGCAGCTTTCGCAGTGGAGTCTGGATGGGCTCAAACCTTCCTTAGTCCTGGGGAAAGGCGGTTCGGGGGCCAAGGGTGGGGCAGCTAGGGTGTCGGCGTTTTGGAAAGGATCCGGGCTTTTTTCAGAGGGTGTAGAGAGAACGTGTCCATGCGGGCTGCGACACCAAGGTGCTAGAAGAGCCAGGTTCAACCTTGCATTGGGCAGAATTGGGAGGCGTGGGCTCCCACGAGTTGGACCTGCTGGCGGCTGGCCCCGGTGCGGGGCTTGTTCCTACAAAGGCACCGCAGGGGAGACAGCGGGCTCAAGGTTGGCTTGTCCTTTGGCTTTACAACAAAGGGGGAGAGTTTTGTTAGTTGGGAAGCGACCTGGGGATATACAAAAGGTCCGGGCGGCCAGCCCGGGCCGTGGATAACCGGGCTGAGCCAGGCTCGCCTAGGTGAGTTCTCCCGGAATTGAGGTTTGAGGCTGCGTGGAGGTCCCCTCATCCCGGCCGATTTTCCGCCCAGTCAGTACAAAACACACACACACACCCACTGCGTCAACACAGTTTTTGGCCACTGATCCCGCGGGTAAACAAGCTAGAGGGGGTGGGGGTGGGGCGTGGAAGATGGCGCCTGGACTTGTGGCCTGGGCAGTGGACACCCGTACAGCGCGCCCCGTTTTTCACGTTTAAATGTGGCCCACCAGGGCGTGTGGGGGGGTATTTTCCTAGACCCAGTGGCCCAGCTAGGGCTGCACCAGAGGCTCCCCCGTGATGGAGCGGGTCTACGAAGGGGCCGTGGCTGCAGCCTTTACTCCTCTTGGGATCGGTCCCACGCCCCAAGATGGCTCCCGGCAGCTGTTTACTCAGCGGCTCCGGGGCACCAGGGCGCAGGGCCGAAGAGGGGGCAAAGACCAGGGCACGCAACGGTTGGTTCCAGCGGGCCTGCCCGCGTTCCACAAGCGAGGCAGCTCCGGAGGAGCAGCGCGGGCAGGATCAGTCCTGTGCGCCCCGCCCCGCCCCGCGGCCAGGACCCCGGAGCGGTCGCGACCCCAAGCCCCGCGCCTGGTGGCTAGAGGGCCGCGTGGCAGCTCGCGACGGTGAAAGAGTGCATGGGGAGGGCAGTTCAAGGGGCTGGGGCGCACACATTCCAGCGGGGAGGGGGCCTCTTCTGCCCTGAATCGGGCCCTAATGAAATGCCAGCTCCCTTCGCCAAGCCGACGAGGCGCACACACTTGAAAAATGCAAACGCCATTGGCAAATCCAGGGCAAACAGGCAGAATTTTTATTAGCAACTAAATGATTTATGGCACACATACCCCGCCGTCACAATTACGGCGTCTTGGAGCATCCAGGGGTGAAAACATTAAACATTTATAAAAATAGGCCTTTGTTTTTTTTCCACCCCGCAAGTCTTTTGTATTATTCCCCACCCCAACTCTCGCAAGATACATTTTTTTTTTGGAGCTATATTAAAATAAAACCATTCCAGATCCCGGGCGGGCTAAGAGGGTGGGGGAATCAGGGCCTGCACTCCTAATATTGGAGGGCGATGGGGGCGGGGGAAGCGCTGGGGACTCGGGCGTGGGAGGGCTTACTAGGAACCCACAAAGGCCTCGGGATAAGACTCAAGGGCGCTAGGCGCCCCCACACACGGCCCCTTCCCTTGCTCTGGCTTCCAGCAGTCCCGCGCAGCTCAACTGCATTTATTTTATTTCTGCAGTCGCCCCCCTCCCCTAAGGCACACAGACACAATACCTCCTTTCTCTAACCCCCCTCTCCTTTCGGTCTTTGCTCCTGGCCGTCCTGGGGCTGCACTGGGCATCTCCCGCCGCCCCGGTTGCCACTGAGACCCGCGCGCCCAGCTCCAAGCGCGGACACCGCCGCTCGTTCCCCTTGGCTCCGGCTATTTTCGTTCCTTTCTCTCTTCACTCCTCCCTCCTCCCCCGCGGAGCTCCAGCTTCCAAAAGAGGGCAGCCTAGAAACCAGCGCAGGAGGATCCAAGAAGGGCAACTTGAAACTGCCCTCCTGAGGCCGAACTTTTTTCCTCAAATTTATCCTGGAATTAAATTAGACACCCCCAGTTCGCTCTCGAACCCTTCCCCCTTTTTTCTAAAAGTGGAGAAAAGAAAATAGAACGAATGGGCGCTAACTAGCTCATTTTCCCCCCCTCCAGAAAAGTTGCCTTAAAAATGGATTAAAAAAATAGGAGCAATGCGAAAACGCTGAGTCCGCAGCGCGGGGCGAAAGAGCGGGCTTCTCTTGTTTTAATTAAAATCCTATCACCACGGTTGCTCTCCGAGGCAGGATCAGCAGGATTTCTGCCCCTTCAAGCTTCCTTTCGAGGGTACGTAATGCCTAGCTGGACTCGGGTGCCTGCCGGGGCTGCGGAGAGGGTGCGGGGCCCCTAGGACTGTCCCTCCGGCAGTGTCCGCATTCCCTGCGCCTCTAGCCAGGTAGGTTTGCCGCGGGCAGCTCCCGGCTACTCAACCCAGAAAGGATTTTGCTGAAAGCGCAAAATAAAGTACAAAGTCTGGGGGATTGGGGCTCCCCTCCCCCTCTGGCCGCCGTGGCCAGCCAAGCACTTTTGGGCTTGGCTGCTGCTTCCTCTGAGCTCAACAGATTTTTTTTTTCCCGGTCTCGCCCTCCCTGGAGGGGGCGCGGCGGATGGAAGGCGAGAGAGGCCCCCAGCCAAGAGGTTTTTAATATTACACTTTAATAGGTTTCAGAAGGCCCCGTGGAGAAATGCTAATAGGCTGAAATGTCAGAATCGAGAGGGATTCAGCTTGCGCTCAGCCGATCTAATCCTTTTTTCTGCTCTGATTTTTTTTTGGGGGGGGGAAGGGGGAGGGGACCGCCCACGCCAAGAGGGGCTTCGGGGAGGGGCGCGCGTTGCAGAAGCACCGCAGCCCCGGCCGGGGCCGAGAAGGGGGCGCGTCCCGGCCCGCGCGCGTTTCTATAGGAACCCCCTTTAGGAGATTAGACTCACCCGCTGCCCGCCGCCGCGGCCTCTCCAAAATATTAATCAGTAACCATCTGACACTGCTTTTCAGGGAGGGACCCGCAGGCCGGGACAAGGAAAACGGCCTTCTCGCCTGCCCATCCCACCCGACTGCGCTCCTGGGGGAGAGGGAATGAATCGCTGCTTTGTTTTAAAAGGAAGGAAAAGGAAAAAAAAAAAAAAAAAAAAGAAAAAGCAGCCCTTGTCTGTTTTGGCGTCTCCACCGCGCGTTCTAGAGGCGCACCCAGGGGAGGTGGGGGGCCGGGGCGTGGGCACTGGGTGCAGTCCGCCGGGCCCCAGGCCCTTCCCGGCTCGCTCGGCTTGTCACCTCCTCCTGCGAGCAGGAAGCTGACAGCCGGCCCATTAAACCGCGCCTTGCAAAGCCTTGGATTGCGGCGACAACCATCTTCCTCTATTTTGATCACTCAGCCCAGACGCTGGAGGAGGGGGGAGGAAAAGGGAGGAGAAGAAGGAAGGGGGGGGCCGAGCTGGTGGAGGGGGAAGGGCTGCCTAGAAACGGCCCGGAAAAATTCTCACCACCAGTTTTGATCATTCAGCCCCGCCGAGGGGAGCCTGGAAACTGTTGGAGCCCTGAGGTCCGTAATTGGTTTTATAGGAATGGCTGAGGGCCAAGGTGTTTACATGCGCGTGATGGGCGGCGCGCGCGGCCAATGCTCGGCGGCCGGGGG